TTACGTTGCTATTTGCTTCATGTTCGACGTTTCGACGTGTTCGACGAAAATAACTATTTTTTGAAAAGAAAAAACTCACGGCCATTTGTAGGATGACGGTCTAACGACTTTGAGATTATGACCACTTTCCAAATAAAAACTAAAAGCATTCTTAGAAAAGTTGACCGAAGCCCACTTTGTGACACTGTTGCAGTCAATGGCTTCAGGTGGAGGCAGGTTTACAGAATTCACGGACTAAATTTGTTAGGACTATCAAAAAAGTGGCTTCTAGTAGTTACTAAATCTTTGGGTTGTTGCTGAATGGGGCGTGTGTGTTTCCCTCTGTTTTGGCTTGGCTGAAGCGACTGCTGTTGCGTTGTGATAGTTGCAGTGTCCCAACGTGATTGTCCTGTATTATTCCCCTTGCTGTGTCCGAGCGAGTTGTTATCTGGTTGAATTTTGGCTTTCACAACCTCCACAGTAACCGGAGCCGCTGTTTTTGACGCTAAATTGATCAAGTAAACACAAAATGGATAAAAAATACGGCACCTATTTTGTAAACATACCTAAAGTGATTAACAAATAGCAGTAAAATCGAAAAATCATACCAATTTCAACCAGGAATCTTGCTTGATCTCTTAATACTGTAGTCGCAGCAATTAGAAAAAACAATGCCTAAATTGAAACAGTTTTGATTGTCATTATTATAACAACTCACCGAAATTGCACAAAGTGTCGAGGCGTATAACAAAGCACATAATAAAGCATCAAATAAATCTCTTGGTGAGTCGCTCAATGTTTTTAGATCAGCAAGCTAAACAAACACAAGAAATTTTAGCAGATACTGTATGCATTACCAAACCAACGAGATATGGTCCAAATGCATCACCGAACAAATGTGAAATCAGAATTTGCCATGCCTTTGCTGGATTACGCCTAAAGTATTGAGTGTAATCTAAGATTCATATGAACGAACCTCCATGGAACAATAGTCGTCATTTGTAGATCAACCTTGATGGCCGAATTGAAGCAAAGTCTGGTAATAGCAACGAACAGGAAGATCTAAATTAGAATAAAGAATTTTAATTTATGACGAACTGAATGGGGATTATCGCTGCTTCATTGTGAAATAAGTATTTCGTTGATCGAATTATTAACTTATTAACGGAAAATAAACATACGTAGCTAGCCTCGACAGACACTTTCCTGAGTTTTAATCCACCAAAAAGAAATGGAGCTGCGATAAACATTCCAAGCGCACAAATGATTGGATCGGATCGTTTTGTTTGACAGCATTTGAAGCATAGCTTTCCACTACGCAGTAACTAGAAATTATTTGAGATGTGAACATTGAAAGCAAGATGTCATACCGTTGACAAAGTTGAATCCATGGTTACTCCAACGATTTCACCAGCAATTGTGACGATTCCAAAGTAGATAGCAATACTAAAGTTATCGATTATTTGATTGAAATTGTTGTATACTAACTTCGCTTTATCATTTTCATCCAGAAGACTTGTGGAATTGAGCTTCATTTCGTGAGCTTTGGCATGTTAAATTGCTGTAGGAACCCACCTTAAAATAAAAAGAAATACGGTTGAACCATTTAGAATCTTACCATGAAACTGTGCCAGTCACAAAAACAATGCATGTATAGGCAATTGTCGAGAAAAGGTAGGTGCAACTAAAATTTACAACCTTTTTGACAAAGCGTTTTTAAATCTTACTTTCTCATGAGGGCCCACAGATCACAAAAGTACGTCTTGATTTTTACCTTCAAAGGTGCATTTCCTCTATCGTCCTTGCCTGTAGGGTTCTAAAAGTAAAAAGATCAATAGAAATATCTTTAATTTACCCATGATTCATTAAGTCCTCGTTCTAGTTCAAATACAAATAATACAATCAGAATGACAGAAACCACGCCTCAAACTTTAAAAATTAAATTGAATTGGAACAATTATAGATATTATATAAACGCACCAAATAACGCTATTAACCTCATTGCCATTTGCCATCCTCCCAGTCGCCTTGCCATTTGTGATCCAAAGATGTAACCAATTCCACTGAAGCGCACAATATTTTACTTGCCTTATTCAAATGCATCAAACCTTCCAAATGGCCTGACCATATAGAACAACATCAACATCCATGAGCGCGCTTTTCCAATGTACATATCACCAATTATCGTAGGAGAAACGACCGCAGATGAGGCTTTACCGATTCCGACAACACTGCGCATAAGGAAAAACAGCCAAAAGTACTAAATAAACGTTGTCATCTATCGCAAGTTAATTCAATTTACCTCTTTAGCCACAAATGTTGATGCGAACACGGCCAGAACCCATACTAGTATTCCGACAACCATAATCCATTTACGTGTGTATCTAAAAGAAACTTTCAGCTGAAGAACTCTATCCATTTTATACTTACCTAACTCCAAGTACCATAGATTGGAATGAACAACGTGGAAGGGACGATAAAAACCGTTTGAAGTAATCCAACCCCACTATCGTCGATTTGATAAAAGAAAGAAATCGGTGAAAGAACTGAAATTATACCAATTGTATTTTGTGTTAGTCTAGAAAGAAATAGAAAGAAAGAAATCCAAGTTGTACATTTTTATATCACATTTAGATCAAATTTTAATAAAGAACCAAAATCGTTTAAGCTTTTTCTATGAATGTTTACGTATAAAAAAGCACCTGCCACTGTGGATTGATCAGCATATTTGAGTAGATTGACGAGGCATAGAATCAACACAACCCTCAGCTTCTGAAATTTCGAATGACGAGGCGGAGTATCCATCGATCTGAAGAAATATGCAATGAAATTTAAGAATCGAATGAAATGAAACGAATAAAGAATGAGCGAAAATAGAGAAAAGATGTCAAATATGCTACTTTATATATATGCTTTATTCATGGGGCGAATAGAAGCGAATCAGATAATCATAACCGCATATAACATATTGCTACAATACTCTCATCGAAAAAAGAGAGAAAACTAAAGATAGTACAGTAAGAGTACAGTTAGGAAACACAGATACAAAAAGATTAAATATAGGGCAGATTTGACATGGCAATAAGATCTAATTCGTTCACAGATACTTTGAATTTTCCTAACGACGAGAAGATACCAGACGGGAGCTACTAATACGAATTCCAAACCCTACTAATACGGTTCGCAAAAGAATGATAAAGGGAAAGATGATGGAGATGAGAACCGACCGAAATTTGATAAGGATGACTACGTGAACTTCTATAAATTTCTACAATTTTCAAGAGGCTTTGAAATTCTGGATGTGACTTAGGGTGGAAAATAATTTTATAGCAAAAATAAGATCAAAGTAAATACGGCGATATAAAAGGGGTTTTAAATCAAAAACTATAAGTCTAGTCTCATAATTTGGAATAAGAGAAGAAGGGAAACAACGAGTGTATGCTTTTTTAGTGAAACGCCGTTGGACATTTTCAACCAAGGTGATAAGTTTCTTAATGGAAGGTGCCCATACGATGGTGGCATACTCGAGCAAAGGCCGGCAATAGGTTATAAAAGCCGCAATTTTAGGAAAACAAATGGCGCGAAGTATTATGTTAGAAACTCTAGAAGCTTTTTTGGATATGTAGTTTATGTGAGGATCAAATTTTAGAGAGGGAACTAACATTATACCAAGACCTTTACAGGATCATCGGCCAATCCTTGTGGCAATTGTAGGTCCCCCAATTTTAAAGGGATATGTAATGAACCAAATGTAACGTGTTTGCATTTGTCCGGTGCAATGTTAAGTTTCCAAAATTTACTCTACAGAAGGATCGAATCAAGATCCTTCTGGAGAAGAGTAAAATCAGGGATGGGGTTCTGGGACGTAAGTACCCTATAAATCTTAAGGTCATCGGTGTAGAGTCGGACTTTTGTGCCTAGGGAGATCGAACTCTCAATGTCATTAATATAAATAAGGAACAGAAGAGGACCAAGAACGCTCCCTTGGGGCACTCCGCTACTAATGGGGAAGTCATTCGAAAAAGTCGAGCCTAAGCGGACGCGAAATGTCCTTTCAGTAAGCCAATTTGCAATCCAATTAGTGATGGATATGGGGAGACTTAGTGAATTTAATTTGGCGATTAAAAATCTATGATTAACAGAATCGAATGCTTTGGAAAAATCAATGAAAACGCAGCTAGTTTGATCGTTTTTGGCTTTAGCAAAGACAAATGCAAACACGTTACATTCGGTTCATTACATATCCCTTTAAATTCGGGGACCTACAATTACGACGAGGATTGGCCGATGATCCTGTAAAAGAAATTAGTATCCTGTTAGTTCCCTCTCTAAAATTTGATCCTCACATAAACTACATATCCAAAAAAGCTTCTAGAATTTCTAACACAATACTTCGCGCCATTTGTTTTCCTAAAATCGCGACTTATCGCAGGGGTCTTATAACCTATTGCCGGCCTTTGCTTGAGTATGCCACCATCGTATGGTCACGTTCCATGAAGAAACTTATCACCTTGGTTGAAAATGTTCAACGGCGCCTCACTAAAAAAGCATACACTCGTTGTTTCCCTTCTTCTCTTATTCCAAATTATGAGACTAGACTTATAGTTTTTGATTTAAAACCCCTTTTATATCGCCGTATTTACTTCGATCTTATTTTTTGCTATAAAATTCTTTTTCACCCTAAGTCGCATCCAGAATTTCAAAGCCCCTTGAAAATTGTGGAAATTTCTAGAAGCTCACGTAGTCATCCTTATCAAATTTTGGTCGGCTCTCATCCCCATCATCATTCCCTTTATCATTCTTTTGCGAACCGTATTAGTAGGGTTTGGTATAAGCTCCCGTCTCGTAACTTCTCGTCTGTAGGAAAATTCAAAGTATCTGTAAACGAATTAGCTCTTATTGCCATGTCAAATCTGCCCTATATTTAATCTTTTTGTATCTGTGTTTCCTAGCTGTAGTCTTACTGTACTATCTTTAGTTTTCTCTCTTTTTTTGGTGAGAGTATTTTTAGCAATATGTTATATGCGGTTACGATTATTTGATTCGCTTCTATTCGCCCCCTGAATAAAGCATATACATATTTTACTTGAGAATGCACAAAAGAATAAAGTTTATCGAAAGCCCAAATTGTAGAAGCAATTCTGGGATTCACTTGTGAGAGTTGAGAGCGGCCAGGTGGTGGTCGTTGTTGAGTGTTCGGAGCATCAATGACGACTCGTGAAGCGTGTGATGTCCCCGGCTTCCTCATCAATGGAGTGGCAAAGTTTCTCTAAAATAATAACGGAATTTTTCGAAATCCGAGGAACTTCTAGCTTATAAAAATCCACCCACTTTCTCGTTTTTAGGCTCAGTCCTGGGGTGGGAGAAGTGTTGAGATGGCATCGGTTTATTCTTCAGATCGAGCAGCGGTGTTCTCAGGGTCTTCCCGGTTGGCGATGAAGTGGCAGAGGTCTAGAAGAGTCAATTTAAAGCTGTTTGCATCATTGAAATTTCAACGTTACCTGTTCTTTTTTCAGCAAAGGCTTTAGCTTTGATCGTGTCGCTTGAACGAGTTGAAAGGTTTCTCCAAATCGTTTCGGGTTCACCGTCTGAGTCGTGAAAGGTATCCTCTCTTTCTTTCGCTCAATCCTTTCCAATGGCCTCACTTCATCAACACGATCACCGAGATCCTTTGTGGCCATTGAAGTGTCCAATGATGTCTGAATGAAAGCATTAAAGGATGTAGTGTGTCTGATCAACTTCGATTTACAAGCCTTAAAACTTTCTTCACTATCGCTTATAGGCAGACTGGTCTTCTAGGCCATAAGCCTGGCGCTAAACTATAATTAAACTATACAAACTTTTTGAGGTCAGGCAGGCCATAAAGCGATAAAAAGCTATGATAAAATCTTAACTCTAACCAACACGTTTAACTGCCTTTTACTAAATTTACAAACCCTCACCTTCACTGCCACCTCGAAACTCTTTTTCAGCTTCTAGGAAAGAGACGATTTGACGGGCATTTGCGGTGGATCTTCAACACTTTTTGAAGCATCAGCGAACAGATTCGAGAAGAAGACCTAGAAAACAAGAAATCTGGATCAAGTCCGGCAAATTTTACCTGTCTAATTTTCATTTTTTTATTAGCCGGTTGTTCTTTCGTGAGTTGAGTGGCCGATTGTGGAACTTGCAAGCAGACGGATGGACCGGCGAAAGTTTTCTAAAAATATGGTTAGATTTAAAATTGCTAATTTGGCATAAAATATCTTGAGACAGATTCGGGTAAAATTGAAACTATTCCTGGAGAAAACTATCAAAAATTTGCCAAATAATTAATTGAATACCTTTTCATTTGAGTGCTGAAATTCCCTTAGAAATCCTCGTTTCTTCTTCTCGAGTGGCTCCAAATCGCTCGTCAAACTCGCGTTGAAATCTCTCTAAACAAAATTATTGAAAACCGCATGAAATTTAACAAAATCTACTCAAAAGTTTATCCAATACAAAGCAAAGTGGATAAAATTCGCTAAAACGCACCTTTTTCCCAAGAGACTTTGCCATTTTAGCCTGGGAAACTTTCCGATATCCAAACGTCGGCTTGATACTCTCCAACAAGTTGGTACAGGAGCCTGAAAAGAGAGAAATTATACCTTGAAAGCCCAACTCTAGATTCTAAAATAAAAATCTACGGATACAGACGGTAGAAATTGTTACAGCCATAGTTTCAAAAGTTTAAAACAAAAAAAATTCAAAAAACTCACTCGATAATTTGCTTGTCAGGAATTCCTCTTTACTTGACGAATTCTCCTCAACTTTCACGGAAGGTTTCGATTCTGGCGACCACAGTGGCGATTGTTGTTGCTGTGCGGCTTGTAGAACCTTGCAAGGCTACGCTTGGGCTCGTTGTTCCTCTTGTGATCGTTGGTGTGGCTCTTCTTGTGCCCTCAAAGTATTCTCTTCTGCTCGTTGTTGCAGTCTTGGCCCTTGTTGTGATCCTTCTTGTCTTTGTTCTTGCAGCTTCAGTTTTTTTTCGTCTTATCGACCACTTCAAGGAACATCCGGTCGAAATGGGCCCTGCAAATTTCGGAAATGAATTCTAATGGTTTCATAAAAGCCTAGGTTCTATGAGAATTGGAATCTCAAGTATTGGAAAAAATTTTAAGATTTACGTACCACAGAGATTTGATCAATAACAAAATAAAAATACCAATTGCGGCGCAGGTAATGTGTTATACCAATAGTTTAACATTGCATTGCAGTCTACAGTATTTATTCGTCACATATTCGCACTAAAAATCACATTTTTTCCTTAAAGAGCCAAAGATTTTGCCAAAGAGCCAAAGAACTGGCCCTTGTTGTGATCCTTCTTGTCTTTTTTTTGCCGCTTCAGTTCTTTTTTGGTCTTATCGGCCGACTAAACGAAGCATCCGGTCGAAATGGCAGAGAAAAGGGAAAAGGATTGAATATAACAATATTGTAACATTTTATTGTATTGTACAATATTTATTCGTCACATATATCATTTTTTGTCTTAAAAAGGCAAACATTTCGCAGCGAATAAAATACCTAATCTAGATCTTAAATCGTAAGAGAATCAGAAAAGGTTGAAATGAAAAACCTGCGAAAATGAGGCACACATCCTGAAATTACACAACTTGATGATCAATAAAAGAGTTTCTCTAATTTATATGAATCGTTGAAGCTGATAATTCGATATTGAAAGGCGTGTGGAGGCCGATGAAAGCAAAGGATCTTGTAGTCGTTCCCAACTTTCCTCTTAACAAGTGGAATGTGAGCTTGAAGAATGATAGCAGTGAGTTGCTCATTTCTCAGATTAGCCCTACTCACTTGATCCGCCCGGAAGTAAATGCTAAGATAATCATTGAAATGATTACTCCTCACGAAGAATTTCACACAATCCACGAAACTCTCCCAATTATCGAGCCATAGTGTGAGCCGCACATTTTCTCTCATGAACGAAAGATGTTCCCTGATAAGGTCAAAAGGAAGAAATTGCAAACAGACACGATTAACGTCACGATTGTCACGTGGAAAAGTGATTGTCATGCTTTTGCACACTTGGATCGCATTATACATTGAGAGAAGCGAGCGAGTCACGTTTGAATCTTTATTGAATTCGAAGCCTACGCGTTACAAAGTCATATTAAGCGGCAAAAACTTCTGTTTTATTGATCCTCAAGTTGTGTAATTTCATGAAATGTGTCTCATTTTCTCAAGTCTCTCATTTCAGCCTTTTCTGATTACTACTTGACAGCTAGATCCTTAGAGTTTATTCACTGAAAAAGAACGTGATTTTTGGGGCGAATATGTGACGAATAAATAATGTACACCAAAATGCAATGTTACCATATCGGTGAGAGCGAGAAGAAAAACCTTCCAAAGACGAGTCATTTTACACTGAAAAAAAAGCCAAAGTCCGGCCTAAAACTTGCAGAATCGAATCCTGAATCAGCCATTGGCTTGATTTCCTTACTCCCAATTGATTTTTTTTGTCACAAATCTTGGCTAGATTCTTGAAATCAGAATGGTTTTTTTAGATCTCTAACCCAAGAAAAGCAATGGGTCAAAAGACTCAAAATCAAATGTAAAAACCACTTTTTATGGAGAAAAGGAAAGTTTTCCCCCCTCAGTTTTTTCTTTCTTTCTCTTTTCCTACGATTCGACACTCGTTTGCCTTTGTTTTTCGACTTTATTGACATTTTCCCCGATCCAATCAAATGTGACACTTTCTCGGCAGGTTTATAGCCATTTTTTCCAAGTTTTTCTCAGTGGCAAGTTCAACGAGGTTTATGACTAGGAAATTAGGCCAAATACAATTATTTTTAAAAAAAACCAAAATTACGCAAGAGAAGACTGAGCAATTGGGTTGAGAACTTCTAGTTCGTCCGCCTTATAGTCTAGATGTTGCCCCGTCCGACTACCATTTCTTTCGAAGTATGCGGCATTCACTCGAAAGCCACAAGTTCCAGAACATGGACGACATCAAAAAATGGGTCTCTGCTTTCTTTTAATCAAAAGCAGCACAATTCTTTCGAGAGAGTATCCATAATTTGCGTCAAAGATAGAAAAATGTTATTGATAGCTGTGGGGAATATATTGTTGATTAACTGTTTCTAGTTTTTTTTTTACGAATAAATTTTGTTGTTGTTCAAAAACGAAATTTCAATGTCGCCCACCTAATACTTGAGCCAATTTCCTAATGATAAACCTCGTTGAACTTGCCACTGAGAAAGACCTGGAAAAAGCGCATATTAACCCGCCGAGAAAGTGACACATTTGATTGGATCAGTGAGAATGTCAATAAAGTGAAAAGACAAAGGCAAACGAGTGTCAAAACATCGGAAAAGAGGTATGCAAAAAAATTGAATGGAAAAACTCTTCATCTTTGCTTGAAAAGTCGCTTTTCGATTTGATTTCGAGGCTTTTGAACCATAACTTTTTTTGCGTTGCCTTATTAAGCGGCAAAAAATTCTGGACATCAAATTTTGGGGAACTCGTCGCGTCTTCACGAATACAACGTAATTGTTGTTTTCACGAATACATCACTATATCATCATCGAAATACAATCGAAAGCGAATACATCGAAATTTAAAGTGCCGTATCCGTTTTACGGCTTTTCCTTTTCTTTTACGAATCCCCGTTCTGTTTTGTCTGTGGTGAATTTTCACACTCTTATTGATTCTGAGGCCAGATGTGAAATTTTCAAAGAGAAGGAAAAACATGATTCCAATTGCAAAATGTTTGCCTCATAAAAATGTGATTATACGTGACGAATAAATACTGTACAATACAATGAAATGTTACACTATCGGTGTGATCGAGAAGAAAGACCTTTCAAAAACAAGTCATTTTACCATGGAAAAAAGCCAAAATCCGAATTGCAACTTTCGGATTCGAATCCTGAAACAACCGTTCTCTTGACTCCTTTCCTCCAATTGATTTTTGGTCACAAATTTTGGTTCCGGAGATCACAATGGTTTTTTAGATCTCTAACCCACAAAAAGTTATTATGAACGTTTCTGATATTTTTTCCTTGTTTTTTTTGGTCCAGATATATTGTTTGCAGTTGAGTTGCTGACATTTGAAATTAACAAAGGTACCCGTGGCTTGCACACTCTTATTGATTCCATCTTATTGAGGGCAGATGTGGAATTTACAAAGAGAAGGCAAAATATGACTCCAATTACGTTCGCGCTGCTTTGCTTCGGGCATTTTTCTCGCCTTCAGCCCTCCAATCATCCAAATACATAACTCTTTTCCTAATAAAACAAATTGATGACTTTCCAAAGCTTCCCTTCTTTGCCGTCTCTTCTCAAAACACGGATTCTGCATAAATTGAAGGCGTTAGAGGCACTTCAATTGCTGAAAGTGAATCACGATCTGCGCTCATTCGTCCGATTTTGCGGGCCAATCCTGTCAAATTTAGAGGGTGTCCAAGTGGAGCTGTTTGACGCGAATATAGATGAGGACAACGGACGAATTGTGGCAAGTGCGATTGACATTAATATTTTATATAACAGCAGATCACAAGAAGATAACTTTCGGCTTTTTTTCGTAAGCTACGAGTACTTTTCCGGATACGTGCGAGTGAATCCCCTTCACGGGCGATTTTTTCGAAAGCTCGACCATTTCTCCAATTTGGAAATACGCTGTAGGGAAAAGTGGACGAGTGCCCCAAAATTTGATGTCCAGAAGTTTTTGCCGCTTAATAAGAGCAAGCCTTTGAACCACGTACACTTCCAATTCAATGAAGATTCAAGCGTCACTCGCTCGCTTCTCTCAATGTATAATGCGATCCAAGTGTGCAAAAGAATGACAATCAATATTCCATATGGTGTTTCTGGTGACGCTAATCGTGAATTTCTGCGATTTATGGACAATCGCTGGGCGCTCTTTGAGCTCCTCTCTTTGGGATTTCTTCCTTTTGAACTTATCAAAGAAAAGCTTTTGTTAATGAAAGAAGATGCCCGGCTCATACTAAGGCACGTTAATTGGGAGAGTTACGTGGATTGTGTGAAATTCTTCGTGAAGAACAATCATTTCAATGATTTTCTTCGCTTTGAATGTGAAGGGGCTCTAGTGAGGAGGTCGGATCTGAACTACGAGCAACTCACTGCTATCTTCCTTGAAGCTCATATTCCACTTGTTGGGAAAATAGTATTTGCGGAGGATCAGGAGATGCTTTACTTTCATCGGCCTCCACACGCTTTTTGCTATCGAATTAGCACCTGCTACGAATGGCATGAATTAAAGAAAATCTTTTTTTCTGATTTCTGATTTTTCTGATTACTACTTGACAGCTAGATCCTTAAAGCTTTATCGCTGAAAAAAAGAATGTGATTTTTAGGGCGAATATGTGACGAATAAATAAATGATTTCCTTGCTCCCAAACAATTTTTTTATGGGTCCAAACCTCCAAAAACCCCATTTTCCATTGCAAACCGGGTCACAGCTCTAGAAAACCGTAAGGACGAGCCACAAACGGTTTTCAGTTTTTGAATCGGGATATGGAAATAAATACCTTTTTTATACTTTAAAA